TGAGCGGCCTGCGGGTTTTGTTCCTTTTTTACTTTCAAAAAAATTATTTTTGTTAACATGTCTGCAGTAAATGAAGTTCACATCCCTCATGGAGAGTTGGTCTTCAGGCAAGACCCTCCTAGCCCCTTCCTAACTGTCAGTCTTACTCCCCTCCCACCATCTTGGTCCTTGTCCCATGTGCAGAGGATCAATCTCCCCATTTCCTATGCTGGTGGAAAAATAAACCAGCAGCACCACTGTGGGAGTCAGCATGGCCAGACACAGAAAGCCAGACACAGAAATCCCACTGCACCCTGCACTGTCCTTCTGGGTGTCTTCCCCAGAGAGTTAAGACGCCAGGTCACGTGATCCACACACAGCTGTTTGCATCAGCTCAACTTGTAATGGCTGACCTTGTGTCTGCAATCCTGGTGCTAGGACCTGGCTTTCCATGCTCCTCACACAAGGAATCTGTCACCTAGTGAGCCCGAGAGAGGGACCAGGTCTGTACCAGAGTTCCAGGCCTGACTGCTATGAGGATTTCACACCACAGTGACCGCCCATGGCAAAGCACTGGATGAATGAAGCCAGGTGGTAAATAATAATGTGTGTCAAGGTAGTTGCAAATAATAGGCTGCCTGGGGCTATTTGTAAATCAATTTAAAGGATGCTCTGGTAGGTGTCGGTGTCAGTGGAGATGGGAGTTATCCAATAGCAAACTGGACCAGCCTTCTCACAGCTCAGCATTCAGAGCCACCTGAATGCTGTAGGGTGACATTTCTTCCCTGTTCCGGCCCCAGTGGTTGCCATTGACACAGTGCCAAGTACTGTAGGCCTCTCACACATGGATGTTTTCTCGGGCATCCGCATGTGCCATCTCCCTGCAATTCTGGTGAAACACAGTGCCTGGCTGACCTACTCCACCACAGGCAGTGTCCTCTGCAGCGGTGGTGAGCACTTATGTCCCGACCCACTGCAAGGGCCTGCGAGTCTCCACCACGGGTCACATCTGCAGCTGAGGGCCAGAGAGTGCCTCGCTGTCTATGTGTCTGCATCAAAGGCGCTGTACCTAACACAGCATCGTGGCTCACTGCAGCAGCGTTTCTCTAACACAGTCTCTCCTCCCAGTCTTGTTACCCTGAGCAGCCCAGGCAGAGTCCCAGCCCCATGAGTGGAGATGATCTGAAACATCAAAATCACACAAAACAGTGAAAACGTGGCACTAAGCTGAGTGCATGAAGACACTGATCACGTGGACTTTGCAGACTCCATGTGTCCCACTGGGGACTCAGATCTGTGCCATCCACTGCGGGTGTCCATTTCAGAGTGGGCAAAGCCCAACCGAAAACCTATGGGCGTTGGGGCCGCACTGGCCAGATGTGAGCCTCCAACCATGACTTCTGGCTTCCCTGGGCGAGTCCACGTACTCCGTCCATACTCTACCCTACAGGCTTCCAGCAGCAGGACAGGCACAGCACTGAGGCTGCAGGTACCTCCAGAAACCAGGCACATCTGGAATCCTCCACCAGAAACCAAGGAGCGGCTGCTGAGAGAGACCGTGGCAGGCGCAGCAGTGCCAAGGGCTGAAAGGACGAGACTGTTTGCTAGAAAAGAGGGTGTGATGTGAGCAAAGGCTTTGAAAAGACCATGAACAATCCGAGCGTCTAGAGCTCTGTGCAGGGAACACAGTGCTGCCGGGCACAGGGACCACGTCTGTCATCTCAGCACACTGGGAGGCTGAGGCAGAAAGGTCACGGGCTGGAGCCTGGCAGGGGCATCTTAGTGACTTAGTGAGACCTGGTCTCAAATAACTAAACAAGTAAATAGGTAGGGCTGAGGGCGCAGCTCACACAGAAGCCCTGGACTCACTCACTGAAGGGAGAGGGGTGACTCAGAGATTAGACAACCTCCATTTAGTGTCCCAAGATTTCGTGGGTGGGGGCTCGTGCGGGGCTCAGCTGGCACCTGTTTCCCTGAGACTTCTGGAGTGGCCCTGGGCTTACAGCAGGTGGCCCAGACCTTCACCAGCAGGCTGGGCCCCAGGTGAGCGTGAGGGACGCGTGGAGCTGCCTGGGACCTACGAAGGGCGGTTTCTCGTCCACTTCTTATTCCCTGTTCATCGCTACGATAATTGGTCGATGCAATGGAATTTCAGCTCCGTCTCTGTTGATACAGAGATGAAATGGAGGAGGTACAAAAGCTGGGCCCAAGTTTGCCTGCTCACTTGCTGTCGGGCTGGGCATGAAGCCAGGGCTGCACCGGGCCTGCCAAGTGCCCCTGTTGAACCCCGCCACCAGCTCCGAGCTGCTCCAGCTCCCACTGCTGACCTCGACTCTGAATGACAAAATGACTGGGGTAGAGGGGAGTGGCTGCTCCTCGCAGAAGCCTCCTTAGAGTAGCTGGGGTCCAAGAACTGAGAGCTTCGCCTGCTCTGTGGTGCTCGCAAGGCAGGCTCCGGAGCCTCAGCCCGTAAGTCGCATCTACCCGGCAGGATTTCACATGACCTTCGCTGTCCCATATCCACATGGTAAGGCAGCTGGGAATTGGCTGCGGGGACCCAAAGCTACTTCAGAAATGTCTCGGCCTTGGAGGGGAGAAGAGCGCATTGAGTGCCTGGGAGACGAGAGACTGCGCTGTTGGCCAAGGGCTGGGAAAGTTCAGCCGGTTTCACTGCGAGAGTCGTGCTCTGCTGCAGGCCAGAGTTTGGAAATAAGAAACAAATTCCAGAGGGTTTCGTGCACCAAGGGCCTCCTCTGGACGCCAGCCGATGTGCACAGGGTGTCAACCGCAAGTCCCAGGAAAGACTTCAGTAAGACCGACAGCAACACAGACAGCCTGGGGCGCAGCAGAGAATACTCACTTGGTGTCTGCGGTGACAGTTCAATAAAGTAAACTTGATTTCAATTTATTAAGATAAACATCAACTTCTCATTCATCCCTTATGTCTTTATATTTTGTAAATTTATGAAACATCCTATAAAATGCAAGGATTATAAAATTTACCATGCAGACAGTGAAAAACTTACCATTACAGCCAAGAGAGGATCGCGGTAGCTTGCTTCTATCAAAATTGCACTTTGCCCTCTTTTCAGACTGGAACCATGGGGCGTGCAGAAGAGAAGAAGAAGAAGGCTCCTGCTGTGCCTGAAACCCTGAGAACAAGCGAAGACATTTCGCAGGCTGAAGATAAAGCGCCTGAGAAAGAAGTTTGCCCAGAAGATGCTTCGCAAGGCGAGGAGGAAGCTCATCTATGAAAAGCCAGGCACTGTCATGAGAGAAAGCCAGGCACTGTCATGAGAGCACAGACACATGTACAGAGCTGAGATCCGAGTGGCGAGGATGGCGAGGAAAGCTGGCGACTTCTATGTCCCTGCAGAGCCCACACTGGCACTTGTCATCCGGATCAGGGGTGTTAGTGTGTGAGCCCAAAGGTCCGCAAGGTGTTGCAGCTCCTTCGCCGTTGCCAAATCTTCAACGGTACCTTCCTTAAGCTCAGCAAGGCTTCAATTAACATGCTGAGAATTGTGGGGCCGTGCATTGCATGGGGGTACTCAAAGCTGAAGTCAGTGAACAAACTAACATACGAGCGCGGCTGTGGCAGACTCAGTCAGAAGCGAACTGCCTGGACAGATAATTCATTGATTGCTGGATCTCTTGGTAAATACGGCATCACCTGCATGGAGGATCCGATTCATGAGATCTACACTGTTGGAAAATGCTTCAGAGAGGCAGATAACTTCCTGTGGCCATTCAAGTTCTCATCCCTACAAGGTGGAATGAAGAAAAAGACCACCCATTCTGTGGAAGGCTGAGATGCTGGAAAGAGGGAAGACCAGATCAGCAGGCCTATTAGAAGGATGAACTAAGGTGTCTACCATGGTGCTTTTATGATTTGGTCAGTTAATAAAGTACCTGCTGCCAAATTAAAACAAAAGAAAAGAAGAAAATTGCACTTTGGCACCTTCTGTAAAAGTTACCAGCTGCTGAATCAAGCCCACTGCCCAACTCGTCTTTTCTTGGTGCGTGTCACAGCACATGACGACCACCCCGGGAGCCGGCGCGTGACCCTCTCAGGCTCCTCCCCACCTCTTCCGCTCCTCCCCTGGGCAAAGCGTCCTCCTCTGTTACCCACTCTGGCCTTGGTTTCTCTCTTTAAGCAGTTCATACTTCGAGAGAATAAGCCATTTGGAGACAGGAAATCCATCGGGAAGCACAGGGCTCCAGTTCCAGTTTGTACTCTGCCTCACGCTCGCTGTAAATAGCTAGTGATCTCCTCAGAACTATCTCAGCAGTGCTCCACCAGTGTGGGCTGGGTCTATCCAAGAGTTCCTGTCTTTCTGTCTCCAAACCACAGTGCTCAGCAGGGCAGCAGAAGCAAGAGGCCTGCTCTGAGGAGCTGGCGGTGACTGCACGGAACAGGAGGCCCCAGGTGGAGGACGGTGGGACGTGTTCTGGGGCATTGGTCCCTGCCCAGCAGAGCCCACAGAGCCCAGCACACTGGTGCTGGTGGGCAGACCTGCCCACTGCTGAAGAAAGTGTGGGGTCCAAAGGGCCGAGTACCAGGATAGCAGCATCTGGAAAGCATATGTCCTGGCTCAAGAAGAAGCAAGAGGGCAGGCAAGATAGCTCAGCAGACTGAGCGCCTGCTTAGGCAAGTGCAGGGACTGGGGTTCAATCCCTGGTGCCACATGCTACTCAGGCCCTGCCCTCGGGCACACGGAGCCAGCAACTGAGTCTGGGTGTGGTGGCACACACCTGTAGTCCCAGTGCAGGGGAGGCTGAAACCAGGAGGATCACTATGATTCTGAGCCATGTAGTGAGACCCTGTACCTAATACATAAAAGAAAAGAAAGGAAGAAAGGAGAAGAAAAGAGGGGAGGG